CACCATGCAGTACAAATAGTAGATCTATTTTTGTTATTTACACCACTGCACTGCAAATATTATATCTATTTTTGTTATTTACACCATTACAGTACAAACAGTACATATATTTTTGTTATTTACACCACTGCAATACAAATATTATATCTATTTTTGTTATTTACACCACTGCAGTGCAAATAGTACATCTATTTTTGTTATTTACACCATTGCAGTACAAATATTATATTTATTTTTGTTATTTACACCATTGCAGTACAAATAGTAGATCTATTTTTGTTATTTACACCACTGCAGTGCAAATAGTACATCTATTTTTGTTATTTACACCATTGCAGTACAAATATTATATCTATTTTTATTATTTCCACCACTGTAGTGCAAATATTATGTCTATTTTTGTTATTTACACCATTGCAGTACAAATAGTAGATCTATTTTTGTTATTTACACCATTGCAGTACAAATAGTAGATCTATTTTTGTTATTTACACCACTGCAGTACAAATATTATATCTATTTTTGTTATTTACACCACTGCAGTACAAATATTATATCTATTTTTGTTATTTACACCATTGCAGTACAAATAGTAGATCTATTTTTGTTATTTACACCACTGCACTGCAAATATTATATCTATTTTTGTTATTTACACCATTACAGTACAAATAGTACATATATTTTTGTTATTTACACCACTGCAATACAAATAGTAGATCTATTTTTGTTATTTACACCATTGCAGTGCAAATAGTACATCTATTTTTGTTATTTACACCACTGCACTTCAAATATATCTATTTTTGTTATTTACACCACTGCAGTGCAAATAGTACATCTATTTTTGTTATTTACACCACTGCAGTGTAAATAGTACGTCTATTTTTGTTATTTACACCATTGCAGTGCAAATAGTACATCTATTTTTGTTATTTACACCATTGCAGTGCAAATAGTACATCTATTTTTGTTATTTACACCATTGCAGTACAAATATTATATCTATTTTTGTTATTTACACCATTGCAGTACAAATATTATATCTATTTTTGTTATTTACACCAC